GGACTAGCAAACTCCAAAAATGGTGAGGAGTGATGGAATGAGATAGGTAGATATAGACAGACATGGCTTTATTGACAAATATGCTCAAAATTAACAAATAAGCAATAAAGCATTGCAGCATGGATAGAAAATCCGTCTGCCGAGGTTGTTGCCCAAATAAATTACCCGTCTTTATGATAACTAATTTTTTCCGTAGTGATAGGACTAATAACCAGTCACTGATACCTGAGAAATCTTCTAAACAACATTGGCATATTTAATGATGATCCCATCTGTAGACCACACAATGAGGAGGAAGGAGCTGCCACTCGTATCATCTTCGAACGAGAAGCAATCGATCAATGGAGACATAACGTCGGATATAAAGATAACCCCTGGGGCGTCGGTGGCCGCAACGGTTTAGGCGTTGACACGGCGCTCAACACTGTAAGGTAAAGGTCCCGGGTTCGAATCCAGCGGCCCTGCATCGCACCCGACATACTTAAAAATGGGCTTTTTTTCAAAACACCGTCACACCGAGGGTTTAAATAACCTCGTAGATAACCCAGGAAATGAATTTCAATGACAGTCAACCTAGTACTTCTTAGGAGAAGGATCGAGTCGACTTCAATGAATTAAAGAACTGCGAAAGTACAATCAGCTAAAATGTTGCGGGGCTTGGGGAACAAAAACAAAAATTTTACAGCGTGATATTTTATGTTGGTGTTTGCGGTAGATAAACGCGTTTGGCCTTTTACGGTCATTTGCCTAGTATTAATGGTTTTGTCTACTAGAGCATTTCGGCACATCATCATCAGTAATTTTTATGATTTATTTGTTTGGCCTGATCCCTTTTTATAATTTGTCACGAGGAGAGCGACTGCTGTCTGCCGGCTCGGCTCTTTGACGAATGAAGTTTGAGTTTTTGTCTGTACCAATGTCATTGTGATCATCAGTTCTCTTCCTTTTTAATTTGTTCATATTTTAAATGTAAAGGATGTGTGTATGTTGATGTTGGCTTGTGCAATTAAGAGCTTTTGTTAAATTTGTTGTGCTTGTATTTTTCTAGCTTTTAGAGTATGTCGATTTTTTTTTCTTTGAATGTGGTAATTGTAACACCTTAATATTCTGGAGAATCCGTTGCGATTTTGTGTGAGGATAGGTAAACCGAGAAAGACCGGATTTTACAACATTATTAAAATATTTCAATGGTCTTGGTTGAGATGAAAAAGCTAGTGTCCCGAGCGGGATTCAAACCCATGACCTTCGGCTTAATACACCGCTGCTCTAACCACTTGAGCTATCGTGACATTGGTAGTTAGAGAAGCGGCGTATTGAGCAGAAGGTCGTGGGTTCGAATCCCGCTAGTGGCACTAGCTTTTTCATCTCAACCAAGACCTTATATAAAAAGAATAATTGAATGAAATAATTACTATGGTCAATTAGACCACTAAACATAAATGGATTAATATTATAACGGTTAAAAGAGTTACCATGGCAACTTGTCTGCTCGTTTGTTTGGGAAAATACCGCAGTTTATATCTTTAATCCAGTCTTAGTTTGCATGTACCATTCCGTCCCATAAAAACAGGGTTAGACGATGAAAAAATTAATGAAAAACAGGTTCTCAAACCTCAATTCAACAATTTAAGGTGGTCCTTTCTTGCGACCTTCCTCTGATGGAGAGCCTAATTGTCCTAAATTTGAGGAAAGACATTGTGCATTTTTACCTTTTGCCTCCGAGAGAATCCATCAAAGGAGAAACGTGCAATGCCACCTGGACCGGTGTCGTTCGAAACTTTAAAATTTTAATCCAGGCTTATTTAAGACCTTAAAAAAAACTTAATCCGACTGCCTGCCTCGGCAAGGACGAATTCACCACCCAAAATTCAATGTCGAAGAGCACATGATTTATTCAAACCGCCCACAGGTTATTACAAACTTATCGTTTGATGGAACTTGTCGATTTAAAAGGCCATTGTTCAAATTTGGGCCGATCGTTACGTACTTGGACAATCCTACGCCCTGTAAAATAAACATGTTCCAAATCCGTTAATGGGTATGTACACATGTCTAGATTTTAGATTAGCTTCCAATAACGGAAGTGGTTCCTATTTAGCTTAAATCTTCATTCAGATAAAATATTTATTTAAAAAAAAGTTTACCCTCATGTCACAGAAAATTTAAAGCTTTAAAGTTAGCATAGAATAGTTTCGGACCTCCTTTTCGACTGATAACATTTTTCATAACATCATGAACGAAGATGAAACCTTTAGATACAGTTGCTAAAAACCAAAGTTCAAAACATTTTAAGTTCTAAAGGATAGTACAAACCGACATGAAATTACAAGATACTTAGTTCTAAACAAGCATCTTGTTTTCCGATAAAATATTTGTTGTCATTTTTCGAGTTATTGGTTCATACTTCTTAATAGCAGGGACTGCTGGATGAAACAAAAACTGTAAAATTCTTCTTGATGTCTGAGTGCCATGAGCCTATATTTTGGTCGTTTCAGATCATATTGGTCGGCCAGTCCTGTTTTTTGTTCTCTCCATCGCATTTAAGCGGGGAACACACTTACCCGATGCAATGCTAGGCGACTACGGTTGTGCCATATGTACATAGAAATTTGATTCACAAATTAAAACGAGTGCAAACCATTCAGAATCATATCCTCCGGTTAATAACAAATTCACTCAAACTATCCATAATGATTTGGACATCCCTAACATTAAATCCGGGAACACACTTACCCGATGCTACGCTATGCGACGCTACCCGACGCAAATCCAAACTCCGATTTTCTATAAGTTTGCATTACCCCTGTGCACAACAGCCCGATGCTATGCCACGCTAACCTACTCTACGCTATGCGATCCCATGTCCAGATTTTCGTCGGGTAGCATCGAGTACAGACGAAGACAAAAGAACGGACACTCATATTTTTATTCCAATTACATTGTTTTAATGTCGTTATGTTAAGTACAACATTCTTATTAACTATAAACCAAATTAACCGAGATCCAAAATCCATTAGTTTTCATTTAAAAAAATTAATTTTAATGGTTTGGTAGAAAATTGATCAAAACACCGGAATACCATTTTTTGATATAATGAATTTAAGTAACAATTTATTACACTGTTTGGCTCATAAAATTACACCATTTTCGTCGAGTAGCGTCAGAACGGAGCACTCATATTTTTTGTAGTTTATTTCAAACTATGTATATGTATTTTGCCGTTATATTAATTACTACATTCTTATTTTAATATAAACCAAATTAAACAAGATCAAAAATTCATGAGTTTTTATAAAAATTATTTAATTATGATGGTTAGGAAGAAAATTTATCAAAACACCGGAAAACCATTTATTGATAGAATGAATTTAACTAACAATTTATTTCATAGTTTTGCTCATAAAATTACACCATTTTCGTCAAGAAGCGTCAGAACAGGAAACTCATATTTTTTGTAGTTTATTTCAACCTATGTATATGTAATTTTGACGTTATATTAGTTACAACATTCTTATTTTAATATAAACCAAATTAAACGAGATCAAAAATTCATGAGTTTTTATAAAAATTATTTAATTATGATGCTTAGGAAGAAAATTTATCAAAACACCAGAATGACTTTATTTTAAACAATTAAGTTTAGCAAACAATTTATTACATGGTTGTGCTCATAAAATTTAACTCAATTTGTTACATGGTTTTGCTCAAAATAATGCATTAAGAGGCGTTGCCATTGTGATACTGATTTGTGACACACGCTGTGGACTGTACGTGGCGTGCGCTTGACGGAGCGCATAGATGTGCATACCCTATCAAAACGTGACAAAGTGTCGGGTAGCGTCGCATAGTATCGGGTTAAGCCAGAAACACACCTACCCGATGATACGCCATGCGACGCTACCCGATGCTACCCGACGCCTTGCCACGTTTTGGTGGGGTGTGCCACATCTATCCGACGCAAGCACACGTGACGTACAGTCCACAGCGTTTATCACAAAAATCACTATCAATCGCAACGCATCTTTTGTTCTTAATGCACTATTTTGAGCAAAACCTTGTAATAAATTGTTAGTTAAATTTTATGAGCACAACCATCTAATCAATTGTTTTTTAAACTAAATTTTTTTAAATAAAGTTACTCCTAACCATCATAATTAAACAATGTTTATAAAAACTTATGCATTTTTGATCTCGTTTTTTTACGAGCAAAACTATGAAATAAATTGTTAATTAAATTTTACGAGCAAAACCGCGTAATAAATTGTGCCAATTTTAGTATATGTACCGCCGAAGCGAGTACAATAAATTGTTAGTTAAATTCATTATATCAAAAAATCGTATTCCGTTGTTTTGATTAATTTTCTACCAAACCATTAAAATTAATTTTTTAAATAAAAACTAATTAATTTTTAGTCACAGTTAATTTGGTTTATATTAAAATAAGTATATTGTAATTAATATAACGACAATAATACATGTAGTTTCAATAAAAATATGAGTGTCCGGTTCTTTTGTCTTCGACTGTACTCTATGCGACCCGACGAAAATCTGGACAGTGGGTTAGCGTGGCATAGCATCGGGTAGATGTGCACGGGGGTAATGCAACCTTATGGAAAATCGGAGTTTGGATTTGCGTAGGGTAGCATCGGGTAGCGTCGCATGGAGTAGCATCGGGTAAAAGTGTGTTTCTGGCTTTAGTGGGTTCCCCACTTTATGCTTGCGTGTCTGTTACAAACCCCCCTCCACCGCTGAAGATGTCGAAATGCGTCAGACAGGCAAAACCAAACTAGGCAGACGAGCAATTAGAAAAATTGAGAGAAAAAAAATTGTTTCAACATCAGTTCTATGATTCGGTTGATTTAGTCAGAGACAGGATTGAATATTTACTTAATAAATTGAACGAACAAGACAAAGTTGACACAAGGGTCTAATCCGATACTCGAGATAAATCTTAGTACATGTATAATAAAGAAAATCTTTACGCAGAAATTTTTACTTACTCTTCTCACTCCCTCTCTACTTCCACCACATCATCTGAAACAAACGTCACTTTACTCAACTGGTGTAGTGTAAAGTATTAAACTGACATGTTACGTTCCAAGATACAATGCAATGTACTCCTTTAAGAGGACACAAAACTTAACTCGAAATCTTGTGTCGACTGGTGCTGTTATGAAAATGCGTATTGTTATTATATTACCTGATGCCAAGATTATTATATATCGGTTCACTTATAACCCCGACACCCTTTCCTTGCTAAATGGACAAAAATGCGATATAAGTTTCGTGCCGCGTCATCCGTAGATTTTATTTTAAACGCGTCGCGTGACTCCAGAAGCGAATTTTATTCTTCCTCCGTTCTTGATAAAGAATCCACCTTCGAAACGCCCTTAAACGTAAATAGCCCGTTTAGGAAAATTACGATATCTCGGATCAAATAGAGACTACAAGGGTGCATTGACTCTGCTGAGCGTTCTCTGTTCCCAAATAGCGTTTGTTAACCTTTAGGACTACTGCGTGCGAACTGGGAGACGGATAATTCTCATGGGCGTTTTCTTTATAACCTATTGATTAGTTAATTATGAGAAGGATGAAGTAATGCCCCTGTTCTTAATTATTCATTGCAAATTATTTCCATTAGGTCTTTCATAAAAATTACAGGATGAAAATCGATATAACCCCTATATTCAACCTTGAAGAAAGTATCGATTTAATTGTTGTAGTAACAAACAATATGCAACAATGAAAAGACTACGAAGATCCGAAAACCAGGCAGTTGCAAAATCTTCCCCAACTCGCAAGCAATCCAAAAAGATTTCCCAATCTCCATTGTCTTTGCATCAAAAAAGAGAGTTGAAATCTTAAAATTTAAAAACAATTCCGACCACATAATACATCATAAATTGCATATACATTAACAAGTAAATCAAGCTAAACAAACATTGTAAATATTAAAACAAAAATTATTTGTACGCTATACTTATCGATACATTCACACGGTTATAGCAGTAACACTAAAGCCAGCGCTGTACGCGGAGGGCACATGCCATGACGAACCAGTCAATGACTACACTCAGTATGAGGAATTTAGGGGCAAGGAGGTCTCCAGGCTGAAGCGTGGAGGGTTCTAGGGAATGTATAGATAGAGAGGAGCAGGGTAGGATGGATGGAGAGGTTGCTTTGAAACTTTTGAATTCGTCACATTCAATGACAAAAGGAATGTTGAGGTCGTAGTGGACGTTTTGTCTGAGGAGTTTTGTTTGGAAGGATTGGATGCGCTGGATGTTCGTTCGATGACTTAGCAAAATCCCAATGTTCCACTCCGTACTGGCCCGTAAAGTCTTGCATAAGTTTAATGTTGGCAGCCAGATTTCGGTCCTAGAAGTCTTCGTAGTTGTACAAGTCTTGTGCTGTTTCTTACTTCTTGTGTGGGGATTCCTCGTTAATATGTTATATTAAGTATAGTTCTAAGACTTAAATGAAAGTGTGTCATTGTTGATGTACAGTGGAGGGCAAGACTGTTATCTCAATGTGAGCGCACATTTTGCAACTTCGATAAGGTCAAGGTGTTCTTAGATGTAGCTTGGATAAGATTCGAGTTAAGGGACAAAATGACGGTATCGTCTGTGTAGGTGTTGATGATGTTATTTCGGGACTAAGAATGCTCCCTTGTGGGACGCCGGCTCGTCTGACTTCCTAGATTCGTTGCCGCATCTCACTCTAAAGCATGTATAGCTCCGGTGGTCTACGAGACGTGGACTTTTCCATAGACATTTCGATGTAAAAATGGTTTTTATCCACGTCTCTGTAGAGACCACCGTACGGAAAGTAATTGCATAAGTTGAATTTATATAAGAAAGGATCAGCCCGCTTTTTCCGCCGGCTCGTCCATTACTGCCGGGTCGGCTCCGCTTGGTCCATTCTTAACACTCCTACCTAACTAACGTCATAACTGTGGCCAATACTGAAATAGTGTGAAAAAAATCTCACTCTAAAGCAGTGGTTCGATAGAATTTCAGGGTAAGGTGTGAGTAGATAGGAAGCGTTGTTTATAAAGTACATCTGTGCGCCAGACCCTAGTTTGTACTATATCTAGGAACGCAGCTAAGGAAACTTTTTTTTCTCTAGAACCGAGGAGATTGTCGACAACTATGAAACCTTGCTAGATCGTTCACTGTTGAGGACGGAAGAAAAACTGGTAAGAAGGAATGATTTCATGAAGATCTAGGATGGGTATTAAGCGCTTTAAAAGAAGTCTTTCAAGGATTTTGGACATTGAACGAAGTAGACTAACGGGCTTGTAAGAGGATATATGGTAAATATTAAAGTCCACGTTTTCTTTTTAGACTTCTCAATAGACTTCTAATTAGAGGCCTAATTTAAAAAATAGAAATTTCTTTGGCTTGTACGTGTTCACAAATATAATGGACTCACTAATTTCACTATTGTTGTTTGTATTTTTCGATCAGTAGCCCTCCAAAATGAAATATTGCCAGGAAATTCGCAATTATTATTTCTTTCGCGCCAACCAATTTCATTAGTTAAATATTTCATAAAACGTTCCGACTTTGTATATTGATTAGTTATTTTAACAATTGTATTTTTTTTTGACAATTTAGCGATGATCCAATCAATTGATTTGCCGTTATTTATCCAAGAGCTTTTGCAACATTAATGAACGGGGGGGTCACTCGTTCTGAGTGAAAAAATTGGGCCGTTCCGGGTCCCGGAATTGCCTTCGGTTCCGGCCTGACCTATGTGCCAATCGGTAAAAAGTAATACATAAATAGTTGAAAAGCTCTGCATGTTATTTTTCTTCATGTCCAATCGTCGTCAACGTGGGTGAATTTGTTCTTCAATAAATTTATATTTCAAAATATTCGCAATGTAATAAAGGATGGGGGTCATACCTCATGAAATGTTCTTTTTCGCTATCATAACAATTTAAATAGAGGATTAAATAGTTTTTTGGTGAACCTAGTAAAATATTTACTATCTAACTCTTGTTCATTTTAATTTTAATAACGGCGATTCACATTTTAGTTTCATTTTAAAAGTGACAGTGGAAATGCTGTTTAGAATTTTTTTTAGTATTTCTAAACTGTCATTGTTTTGCCCAAACATGAATATTAATAAGATTTTGTGGTGATGAGAATCCTAATGAACAGTTCGTCATTGATTTGGAAAGTTTCCTTCAGGAGAAACGACCTTTGGCAACTAACCCCCGGAAGAACACTTTCAACATCAAACGATGACTAACTTCTTAAGGATGCTGTGGAAGAAATTAGCCAGCAAAATTTCAGAGAATGGCATATTTTACACTGACAGTACAACAGTTTCTAAACACTAAAAATAAACCGTTAAAGTGGAACGGGAATATGTTACTTGTTCTCGTACCCAACATTAATAACAAGATTATTCGGAAATCGTGAGATGCGGTCTGGTGTGATGTAGGTTTCAGAAAAACATTTTCTTTATCGTGCCAACGTTTCGATCTTTACTGAGATCATCTTCAGGGCCTGGGATTTACAAACATTGTTTAAATTTAACAAATAGATGTAGGATATGGAAAAAAGTGNTATATATATATATTTAAATTTGTCGTGAATTACAACTACCTTCAACTAGGTAGCAAGTAACAATGAGCAAGGTAATATGTACAAAATTAAAAACAAGAGCTCTATATTGTGTCATAACCTCCTGACGTTTTAGTAGTGTGTGAGGATTGCAACGTCAGGCGTTTTTCGATGTACAGTCCGAAGTACGGCACTTTGTCTGCAGTTGGGAGGGAAATATTATTTAAGGAAACAGGGGTGGAGATGTTTTTATGGAAACTAAGGGTAATGTGGGTGGATTTGTCTTTGTTAATTTTTATCATTTTCTTTCTACACCAAGACGCTTGTAGTGTGAGGTGTTGCTGGAGGTTTCTAGTGGAATGACAGGATCGGAGTTGCTAGAGAGAATTGACATTTCGTCTGCAAATGTGAATGTGGTAGTTTGGGGATTTGATGGAATGTCAGCTAAGAACACCTGGTATAGTGTGGGGGGCCAAAACGCTACCCTGAGGAACACCAGCATGGGGGGAAGGGCCTTCGATGACTGGGAAAAATCGGTCAATGATGAAATGCAGTATGAAATAATAGGTTGGTGGAAGGATGCCTTTGAGCATGAACAGCAAGCCCGGGTGCCACACTGGATCAAAAGCTTGGCTTACGTCAAGAAAGCCCCCAAAACATTACTGTCCCATCTCAAGGGAGGAGGAAATAATTTCTACCACGCGATGGCACAGTTGGACTTCTCTGATTAAAAAAACAAACATTTAAAATCCTGTAAACACAGACGAAATAGTAATCAAATTTTGCCTGTTTGTACCTTCGAGAAAGTTCTACGTACAACTGAGGACCTCAGCCAGTCTCTTGGAGGAAGAGGCCGAGTAAACCTCCAAAGAGAAATTACGCTTCGACAGATAGAGAAAGTAAACGGCTTTAACATCTCAAATCCTATCGAAGAATACGAACTTATGATAGGTAATTCATAGATTGGAACATAATTAAAAATTCCAGTCCATTTTTTTCCCACATCCATATAATAAATGCAAATTCACCTCTCTATTTGGAGTTTAATACATTTTAATTGTGGGTAATAAATAGGACAGGCAAAACACAAAAAGTAGCAGAACGTTTGCGCCTGGCTTCTGTATTTAACGGGTAGAGCGGAAAGATTTTCCTAACACTGGTTGAGGAACCGTGCCGGCGATGGGAGTATCCAGGCGAATCTGCGTTGGCGGAAGAAGATCCTGAAGGATTGGTAAGTTTATACATTATTTAATCTTTTATGTAAGTACAATTAATTAAGGTTTTTAGTTGAGATAAAAAAGTCAATGGCACGAGCGGGATTCGAACCCACGATCTTCGGCTAGATACGCCGCTGCTCTACCACTTGNTGGGAAGGATGAATCTGTGTTGGCGAAAGAAGAGCCTGAAGCTCAAGATGAATCGTTTGGTAAGTTTATACATTATGTTTTGATGTATTCT